TAAGATGGTCTTGTCCTTAGTGTGGTTGCGATCTCCTTTTGTTAAAAATAAGTGGTTTGAACTCGTTTTCGCAACTTAGTTGTATTGTCAGAGTGACCTAGATGAACTCATCATATTCGGCCATTGTTTCAATGATAGCTTCCAGCATCGGACTATGTGCTTGGTACGTTCCCAGACGTGTTGCCGGCCAAAGGATAGACTTCCCTTTTCTCTTACAAGTTGTAGTGTGATGCTAAGAATGATAAGGCTCATTGACGATGCCGGCGAAGCATCTGAGAGTGTACAAAATGCATGGCCTGATGGATATTATGAACTCCGGGCAGGATACATTCATCCCTGAAAATACGGCCAGGTTATTAAATGAGGCCAAACCCCTCTAAAAATGAAATGGTTTCCAAGTTAAATGAACTTGATTAATATATGCAAAAAGTTGGGTTTATAGGAATATGTTTACTTATATTGTTGAACTCACTTCCATTTTGAGTGAAAGTGTGCGCCAAAGATATTCTAAGGTCGACCCCACCAGAAGACGACGGATGATTCCCCTTAGCCAGCTGTCGAGTGGTTTTACTTGAATATTCTTGCTGACGCTGATTCAAAGGGAATAACTTCCAATTTCGGTGAAAATATGATAGGCTTTCGTCCATCATACGATGGACATCATCATGGCAGAGTATCATCCTTTAACCCAGTGATTCCCAAACTGCGCCGCGGCGCCTTGGGAGGCCGCGGCCTCTTTACAGGGGCGCCGCAAAATATTGTAAAAGCTTCAATTTGAGAAAATGAAGAGTGATTTTCAGGCTCATCCATCACATTAATTATTAAATATTAATTTAAGTCAATAAAGTAAAAAAAATAATGAAGATATACGAGTTTTATTTATTTTTATCTCTTGTTTACAAATAGTCATACTTAGGGTAAGGCGCCATGGCAAAATTTTAATTGAAAAAGGGCACCGCGACTAGGAAAAGTTTGGGAACCACTGCTTTAACCTATATTAAAGCTAACAAATAAGGAAAACTCAATAGCTTATCCATAAACGCAGTACATATACCCTAAATCTATGCTTTTCGATGAGGTATAAATTAATTTGGTTAGTTCAAATTGTGTAGAGCTCAAAGCATGTGCATTTCTGTTTGTAGGCGTTTATGCGCTATCATATCTAGCCCAAATGAAACCACTTGATACCTACTCCTGCCCACTATCAGAGGAAGTAGGTTAATCTGGACGCTTATCAAGAAAACAATATCTAGCTACTATATTATATGAAATACACATTCTTAAAAAGCTAATAGTATTAACTTGCTGAGATTTATCTCTTGGTTCTCGTATATCGAGAATAAAGATCCTAAGAATCTTCAGCATGTATACGTAGTATATAAGAAAATTGAGTTTCAAGGAATTTATTGGCTTATAATTGTGAACAAGTTAATACTAATAGAAGTGGGCTGACCTCGTTTTCGCAACTTGGTCGTGTTGTCAGGGCGACTTATTTGGGCGTATCTTATCTGAAACCTGCTTTAATTCCCATAATTCCTAGATCCAGACCGTGAACTTGGTACATTCCCACACGTTTTGCCGGCATCGTAGTCAGCCTGGCGATCACGAGACTAGCGCAGCGAGTAATCACAACCGTCACAGAAATTCTGCATTAAAGCCAAATTGACTATAAACCCACACGAGAGATAGCAGGCGACCAGATAGAAATAAACAGTTTACTCAGTGTATACGAGTTTAATGAAGGCGAAGGCAATGCCCAAAACCTGCAAGCATGAGAATCAGAGCCTATGCTCTCTGCAGGTGAGGCGACTTTATAAGTGCTACTGAAGGCTTGAGAAATGGCACCTGGAATAAAACGTACACTGGGACTGAAAACGAGTGGAATCAGTCAATCAGAAAGATAATAAATGGATCTACAAACCCATGAGGGAGATCCGGATAGGAGGTCCGAGTCAGATCATTAAATCGAGAGGGAGGAGGGGGGCAAGGCAGAAAACAGGTGTGATGACGCCACGCGAAACTCGCCAAAAAGAGCATATCTCTGGAGGATAAATATAAGAATTCAGAAGTTGTGCTAGGGCATGAATGAGACAAGAGCGTAAGAAATAGATAGATGGACCAGGACATAAAGACAAATGATAGCACAACTGTTTCGGCAGAAAGTTGGTTAAGAAATCGACATCGCTTGTCCCTTTGACGAGTTGTAACTTAGTGCTAGGAGTGACAGTACGCACAGACGATGCCGACGAAACGTCTGGGAATGTGCCAAATCCATGGTTCGACGCTGCTAATTAAGATAACTACTAGAGCAGAGGAATTCCGAAAATGTACGTCCAGCTAAGCCGCTCTGACGACACCATCAAATTTCGAAAACGAGATCAGCCCACTCATGCACATAGAAAAAAGACTGCGATCATATCAAGGAACACATCTTGAACTTCATATCTTCTAATACTATTAGACTTTAAAAAATCCATATTTCAAATAATTTAGTATCTAGATGTTATTTTCAGGTAAGCTAATACGGAACTCGAACAGATATTATTGAGTTTGGTTAAGACTAGGTTAAAATGATCTACTTGTTTTGGAGACAGTGGTCATCCAGGGATAGGTTAAGTTATATAGAAAAAACGGTGATCGATTTAAATGACTCTTAAACCTAAAGACTTTTAGCTAAGGATACCATTGAGGATCTTAAGGTCGGACTTAGTGAATAGCATAACGCTTGTGTAATCAAAGGAGAAATTGAGAAGTGGATAAAAATTAATTTCTCTAAAGGGACGCGTGCGTCTCCAACTTACGGCCTTCCATTGACACAGAATGAAGGAGTTCCTTTATGAGTGATTATTAATACTAAAGGAAGTTTAATGTATAGGATTTTATAGTTCTTATGCAAACAATTAATGAAAGTGGTTTAACATTGAAGAAATTATACGAATTTATCAGAATGATAGATCAGCAGAGTATTAGAGGGGGACCTTGTGGCAAGTTTCGATTTGGTAGCAAGTTATAACTGATATCCAAATTCATGAGGCTATTCAGGCACTAGCACTCAGCCCAGATGAGCACCTAGATATAATAAAGGGAGTAGATCTGAGCAAAATTTCAATCTCAAGACTACTTAATCTATCCATAAATAGCATATACTTCACTAGCTAGTGAAAAGTTTTATTATCAGATGCAAGGAGTTACAATGGAATCTTGCAGTCAACTTCTAGTGGAGTCGACCGTCGAATCTCTTCAATAGACACCTTCAATCGAAATGCAAATTAATTCAACAAAACGAATTAAATTTGGCTTCATTTCCACAAGGAATGCAAGTATTGTAGAGCAAAACGTTTGGATTAATTAATTAAATAATTGGCAACAATAAAAATAATCTACTTTAATGCTTGTATGAATCAGGAAAGAGCATTATTGAAAATTTAAAGAAAATAGTAAATAATTTGTTGGTTCGACCTCGTTTTTGCAACTTGGTTAGAGCGTCAGAGACATTGTGGAACTTACCTAGTTCAGTGTCCTCTGCCACAGTATTTGTGATCTCCAACATTGGACTATTGGTTGGATACACTCCGAAACATTTCGCCAGCATCGCCAGTGAGAGGCGCCATTGTAAACACAGTTACAGCTTATCAGTGACAAGAGGACTAGGTACGTTCCACAAGATCTTCTTTACGCTCCGACCAGGTTGCATAAACAGGGTCGAATCAACACTCTAAAGCAAAGGGGACAGCGACCAAATAGGTCACACCATCTTGGCCTTCATATCTACGAGTAAATAAATTGGCCTACTCACCAATTATTTTCCATTAATACACAAGTGACTCGAGCTGTTCTGTGCAGAAACTCCTCGATTGTTGACCAAAAGCGGGGCCGTAATCGTCCCTGAAGTTGAGGAATCGGCAACACGAACTCCGGCAGACGCATGATATAGCTTACTGCTGAGTGAGGCGACGCCACACAAAGGGGGAGTATTGGGAACCGTGGAAGTGGAAGAGGCCGGTGCGGGGGAAAGAGAGGAAGAAATTGTTGGTCCAGGGCTTAGATAAAGTCCAGGAGTTCGAGGAGACGAACTCAGTACTGGCGAGCCGGAAAGAGGGTGTGAAGTGAGATGTGGTAAAAGAGGGTGGTGAATGGAAGGATTGATCTGAGAAGAGTGCTGCTGGTGAGGATGTTGAGAAGACTTAGGAGCAGGTGTGGGCTGCTGCTGTGATTTATGAACATTTTGAGGATGCCCCAAATGGGAAATGAATTGAGACAATCCATCACGCGGAGTCTGATTTAGTCGAGGATTGAAATAGCCTCCTGCCAGTGTGATTCCACCAATATTTGGGCCACTGGGAGGGATTATTATAGCATTGGCATCTCCCGGTGATTGGGGCGAAGTAGATAGAAACGGTGCACGCGGCACCAGTATTCCGGAGACCGTAACAGCAGGACTTGCTCCTGAGCCACCGACCCCAGCCAACCGCCTACCGAAACATGCATTCCTGGAGTTGGAGGCAACAGTAGGTGAAGAAGGTGACATCGAGTTAACACCAGGTGCCACGGTACCACTTGTAACCAAGCCCATCGAAAAAGGTTGATACAACTGATGATGATGGTGCTGTTGATGATGATTTGAATGATGCGAGTGAAGGCGTGAAGAGTTTAGACTACCAGAAGTAGCAGAACGCGATGAATGTGAATTGAGACCAAGAGAGACACGGCTCGTCAGGCCTCCAATACCACTTCCACCCATCATCAATTTTGAAGTGCCAGCTAAGCTGTTGTGATTACATTGGACGCCCAAAGAAGGACTGCTTGGTGTAGACGGTGAAGTGCCTGGATGGCTCTGCATCCCCGGGTATGGATAATGTAATTGGACCGGTGGTGGGGGTGGGGGAGGTGATGGTGTAGATGAACGAGACCTGGAGCGTACCACCACCATTCGACCACTAGAACGAGTTAGATTATAATGGAGAGTGGGAGATGACTGAGTGAGTGGCTGAAACTCTGAATTCGAATTCGAAGTAGAAAAGTCCTTCTCCTTATCCTGAGAGATTCCGATAGGTGTGTTATTTGAGAGAGCTGTGAGAGCAGAAGGGCTCTTAGATCGACTTCGGTGAATTTTTGTTAAAGACATCATCTCGGGAGTCCGACGAACAGGAGGCTCTGGAGGTCGGGGTGCTTTAAGTGCAATACTTGAGTAAGAAGTTTGACTTGAATTGGATGAAGATGCGGAAATCAGGGGCGTGCTGTTAGTGGAAACCTCATGCTGCGCAGAACTACCCACTTCAGTAACACTTAATGATGAAGATGGCTTTTCATGAGTAGAAGGAGAGAGGGAAAATTGGTCGCCTGTATCACTGTATAACGGAGGAGGTAACTGATGCAAACGGCGCAACCTAAAAATGATAAAGTAAAAGTGATTTTACCCAATTTTATGAGTGTTTGTAGTTCCCAAATGAATTAATAAATTGAGTAAAGCCCGTTAAAAGATAAACCAAAACTGGATAAACAGTCCAGAACGTTAAAGAGAAAAAAAAATCATATATGACATACCTTTCTAAATCATTTTCCAAGGATTCACGCAAATCAACCTCTTTGGCCAGACGAGAGCGCAGTTTCTCACATTCTTGAGACAAAGAACTATTACTAATTCGCTGAGTGGCATCATTTTCATTGTAAATTTGTTTATATGATTCTACTTCGGAAATGTCATTTTTAGAAGATATATCTTTATCGGTCTTCTCTTTCTCAGACCCCGCTGAGAGTAGTGGGTCTCGAATAGGCTGAGCCATTTTGTAAATCATTATATAGGAAAAGAAAAGGAAAATAAACACAGAATGAATATTTATCCTTATTGTATTGCAAAATAGAAAACAGAACGTCTAAATAGCTTAATGCCAGAGAGGAAGTAAAGAGAGAAATAAGGTATTTTTTGTCATACCGAGGAGCTGAGAAGTTTTTGCTGTAATAGTGCAACGCGCTGACGCTCTAAGGCTAATTCCTGGGCTAATACATGCTTTTGTTTGATAATAAAAGCAGCCGCTTGCCGCTGCCGTAGTGCCAACTGCCGCTGCTCCTCCCAATCCTGGATAGCATGCATTAGATCTTTTTCCAATTTCCGATTCAACGAGCGTTCGTACTCAACCTTCAGGAATGAAGAAAGATATTCAAAGATATTTTTAAATATAAAATACACCAACATTTTAAAAATTCTATAAAGTATATTATTACTTCAGATTTGAGACGCTCTTTTTCTTTTTCTAGTTTAACAACAATGTCATCCCCATGAGCAGCTTCGCGTTCATGTTTTTGTCTTTCCTCGTCTAAATCAGAATGCGTCTAAATGCGAGGAGAGTAGCATTATAGAATTATTTTCTACCTTGATATATTTCTTCTCAATTTCTATCAGTTGGTTGCGCATCTTTTCACGGGCAGCTCTTTGAAAAGAAATTAAATTCTCGAGCTGATGCAGCTGTCCATCATAAATTGACTTCAGTCCAGAATCATTTTGATCGCAGCTGTCTGTAACTTCATCAGAAGTATGCTCCTTCAAGTTGGCTCTGATAGTCTTAATAGTGTTTACTGCCGAATCTCGTTGAAGAGCAATAAATGGGTCGTCACCATCCAGGCGGGAAGAATGGGCAGCCAATGCTTTTCCATATTTAGCCTGGCAATAAAGCTGCTTAGTTTTTTCACACTGCGAGATAATTTACGTAAATGTGATTACCCTAAGAGTGGCTATGACAATGTCTCTAGCTTCCAATTCACCTTGCAAACGAGCCAAAGCTCTTTCGAGATCCGATTTATCCATTTCGTCATGGAAACTTATATTCTAAAATAATTTTTACAATAAAGTTACTTTATTTTCAGATTTTGCATCAGGGCCTTCATCGGGATCAATGGCATTCATTTTGAAGACCCCAAAATGGACGAAACAAATGAGAGCAATATAAAGCTTAAATTTTTAACAGGAAAAAAAATCCAAGGCAACATGCTATGCAGTAGAGTGATCCATTACCGATAAAAAGTTAAGGTCAGGAGGAATAGGCACGAATTGACACATTCGAGGGAACGCAAGCGACCATTGTTGTGCCACCTGGTTCGGAATAAGAAATATAAAACATTTTATATTATTTTAATTAGAATGCAATACTTTTATATTTTAATTTTTAAAAAATACTGAATGAAGTGTTTGCTAGTTGTTTACATTGAATTAGTGTGCGAATCGAAGCATAAAAAGTTAGATCTGTTCATGCGTAAGAAACCACGACAAACATAAATGTGGCTTCTTGTGATATCATGTTAGCAACCTAAAATCATATTGGTTAAAAAGATATACGCAGCTTTAATCCGTAATTTGATTGATACAAATATTAATAGAGCATAATAATCCAAATTTATGATGTTCGCTTTGATTTTGATTAAGGAAAAATCATACTTAAATGACATAAGGTGTAATATATTTTGAGCTGCTGATGACCTTAATGAGTAAATAGCTGATTGATGAAATGAATTAG